TGATATGGGCAAAGCCTCTGCTGGTGAATGCCACCAGGTCTGAAGGGTCTGCAGGTCCTTGGTTGCAGACATCCTTCTATAGAGTATAAGAGCTCCAGTGACATCAATAGAACTGTGGTTCTTTACGTCAGCTGAGGAGCTGGCCTGGGCTCTGAGAGGCTCTGGATCATCACAGGTTTTGCTAACAAAATCCAAGTGCACGTTTCCCAAAGTTTTCTATCTGTTCCTCCAGGGATTTGAGCCCAATCAAGTGCAAGCTATCAGCTTAAACAGGCCACTGTAAAGGGGCTTCATCCTTCAGAAACAGAAAACTGATATTCATTAAATCCTTCCAAGCTGACAAGCCTCCCAAATCAGCAGGCATATTTGTAGCTGGAAATAATTAATGCTATAACCATTCACATAGCATCTGAAGCCATGATTTACAAAAATGGTTTGAAGACATGACCTGGAGGCAGGAAGAGAGGAGGAAATCCAACACCTGCAAAATTAATAAGCCACTGACTTGCATTACCTTTTGAATTCAGAATTTTCTCTCCCTTGCTGCCACAATCAGGCCTGTTCTTAGCTAACCTGCTCTCACAGTAAAATAAACTGTTATACTTTGCTGAGTGAACGCTATTTTATATAAGTTATGCAGTGATGATGGATGACCAAAATAATGTCATTCGTTTTGTGTATTTGTAAATATAATTCAGGCAGCATTTAATGCTTAGAATTGTGGTGGGTTATATCTACATGTCTGTGTGCACCTCCAGAGCTATCTATATAAACGTGTGTGTATATGTATGAGTGTATACATTAGACTGTAGCGAGACAACAGTAATTTTCACTTGGATTTCAGTGACTGAAGCAAATCCATCTGCCATCAGTGATATCTACTCCCATACACTGTTTGCCTCACGAAATAAGATTTGAACTGTTCAAACGAAATTAGAATATGAAAGCTTTGACCTGAATAGAAACAAGATCCAAAGCATATTTATACTGAAGATGCTCATATAATCTGTGAGGCCTGTCATGTTGTTAATTTGTCAACATTGCTAATTCACTAACAGTAACCTACAATATTAATGTAGTTGAATGTCACAGCACTATATGCATAAAAATGTTTCCTGTTTGCTTTTCTTTGTTTTTTGAGAAAAAAATGTCTGATCAAATTTGGGTGTGACACACTAAAAAATTGTATTTTATTCAAGTAATCCAGATCTCATTACATTAGGCAAACACTGTACAGGAGGAAAGTGGATCATGTAAATACTCTTAATATTATTCATGAATTTCCCTACTGGCATAGGTTCAAAATATGCTACAGATATCTTTTATAAATGACCTTGTTTAAGTTCTGGTATTGTTGTTCTTCTTTCATCACTCTTTAAAAGAGGCTTTGTTTTACCTTTTCTGGACAAAATATGGTGCTCTCCTATTCCTTTCTTTTCTCCATGTTTCCCAACTGGCTTCTTTTCCCTTCTCGTTCATGTTGATTTCTTGGTTACAATCCTAATCCCAGGTTGGGACCACTGTCTAATCTTAGTAAATTCATCTTGTAAACAAAATATGGTATTTTAATGCGATTTTTTTTTTTAATCATTCCATAATTTATGAGTACTCTTCACTGTGTCAGCCGCTGCTGGAAATGAGACTATTAAATACTTGTGCTACATGCAGTCTTGCAGTGTAATGCTGCTAGCATACTGGCTCTTAGCATAATAGGATGTTCTGGTTAAACAGTTCAAAGCAAGGAAATAGGAGTGTATATGCCATGTAAATGACCTGATTCTTCAACACTCCTATGCTTCCCACTGGAAGAGTCCTCTTAATAGATTATTTCAAATCCTGTATGCATTCTTGGACATCCTGTAGTGTTTAAGAAAAAAGAAGATCCCTTCTATCACATAGGTCAAAAAAATCTTATGCAAGGACCAGTGCAATATTTAGACTAGTTTAAATGCAGTTTAAACCTGAAGCAGGCAGAAATATTCGTCTGTTAAACCAGTTTAACGCTGCCTTGAACACTTCAAAGTCTACGTGGAAAATCAAGTACTCTTTTTTAAGTGTTCCATGTACTGTGGAGATACAAAGTGGGCCCCACACTTCAAAAAGGATGTAGGCAGTTTAAAAAGAGTCTAGTGGAGGACAGCAAAAATAATTAGGGGTCTGGGAGGCTGAATGAGCTAGGGTTATGTGACAGAGGTCTGGTTGCTTCTCATGTATGAGCTGAAACTGGCCACTCTGGTGCATAGCCAGATTTCTACTTCTCCCCTTTCTTTCTTTTCCCCTGCTTTTGTTAGTACTTTTTTTTATCAATGAACTCCCTTACACTGTTTGGTCAATAAGAGCTATCTTGCTAACAACCAACTGTGTCCTCACTCCCTACACAGTTCCCTCATCAGGTCCTCCTAATGTCTGGGAAACTAAGAGCTCTTAGTTTAGACCCCCAAATCAGGCAAGCACATTGCAGACTTCAGTCAAGTACAGGCTGTTAAAGTTTACTGAACTCATGTTTAGGAGAAGGGAAGGCAAAAGAGTAAAATGCCTCCAGCTACAGGTCACCCAACTCCTGGAACCACCAAAACATGGGTTCAAGCATGCACCCTACCTCCTCAGCCCACCCATTGCTAGGCATGCTAGACTCGGTACTCACTCCCAGCCCCTGGAATGGTTCACAGTTTCATAGTAGCTAGGGTCAGAAGGGACCTGAACAGATCATCTAGCCTGCCCCCCTGCCACAGGCAGGAATGAATGCTGGGTTCACAAGACCCCGGACAGGTGATCGTCCAACCTCCTCTTGAATATGCCCAAGGTAGGGGCGAGGACCACTTCCCTGGGAAGTTGGTTCCAGATTTTGGCCACCCTAACTGTAAAATATTGCCTTCTGATCTCCAACCTAAACCTATTCTCCATCAGCTTATGACCATTGTTTCTCGTCACCCCAGGTGGTGCTGGGGAGAAAAGAGCTCTGCCTATTTGCTGTTGATCCCCCCCTGATGAGCTTGTAGGCAGCCACCAGGTCCCCCCTCAGCCTCCTCTTGCTGAGGCTGAGCAGGTTCAGGTCCTTCAGTCTCTCCTCGTAGGGCCTGTCCTGCCGCCCTCTCACCAAGTGGGTGGCCCTCCTCTGAACCCTCTCCAGGCTGGCCACATCCCTTTTGAAGTGCGGCGCCCAGTACTGGACGCAGTACTCCAACTGCAGCCTGACCAAAGTCGCATAGAGGGCGAGGATCACCTCTCTGGACCAGCTTGAGATGCACCTTTGGATGCATGACAAGGTATGGCTGGCCTTGCTGGCTGCGGTCTGGCATTGGCGGCTCATGTTCATCTTGGAGTCAATAATGACTCCGAGTTCCCTTTCTGCCTCTGTGCTTTCAAGAAGGGAACTCCCCAGCCTGTATGTATGCTGTGGATTCCTTCTCACAAGGTGCAGCACCCTGCATTTGTCTACGATGAACCCCATACTATTCTCGTCTGCCCACTTTTGTAGTCTGTCTGTCTGTCTGTCTGATGATTCAGGTTCAGGTGATGTCTACCTCCGTACTTTCTATTCAATGCCACATTTCCAGAATAATGTCTGTGGAACTAAAGCCAGTGTCAGGGATGGGTGCTGTGGTCAGGGGGGTGCGCGCACACGTGCAGGCATGCATGCACGCACACATGCACGCGCGTGAGCAGTCTATGCTCACAGCAGCACCCTCCCCCTACCCTGCCCTGCCCAAATCCCAGCTAATTCTCACCCCAGGCAGGAGGAGCGGTGCCCAGCCTAGCCCACCCCCCACCTCCAGCCGCTGCACAGGAGGAGCCAGGCCAGGTAATGCAGACAACAGCAGTGATGCCTGTCTACCTGCTCACCTGCCTGGTGCACTATGATGCTCTGCCTCCCCACTAGATAGTGTCCCACATCTCTGCCTGCCTGCCTGCCTCTGCCTGCACCAAAGCCACTGACTTGGGGTGGGGGGGGGCACCAAAATACCAGTTCACCCAGGGCACCATTTTTCCTAAGGCTGACACTCCTATAGGAAGGCTGTTCAAATGCTGGCCTTTGAGCTGCCCACAACCTGTAGCTCTTAACATGTGGCGTGTGAGCCCTAGTGGCAGCCTCTCCTGCTGTTGTGTGGGTCTGGAGGTCTGCAAAACCTGTGCAGAAGTGGCACGGGAAAAGGGAGCTGCATGCCACCAGCATGGATTGCCACATATCAGTGACAGAGCCTGTGCAATGGGGGCTGAGGGGCCCAGGTGTTGCCAGCTGGGTATGGGGGACCTGTCTGATGCCAGCAGAGCCCATATGGTAAGGAGGATCCTGGAGGGTGGCCCCCATAATGTGTGGTCAATGCAGTGTGTGGCCCAGGGACTGCATGCCAGGGCTGGGTGTGGCCCCTGGCCGCACCCAAGTTGGATAGCCCTTTAATACAGAATCCTGTTTCAATCCCTTTTCAGTATTGCAGTTTCACCACTTGCATTTTTCTTGAATTCTATAGGGCAATTTACAGCAATCCCTGACAGCAGTTGTTTATAGGAGAGGACATTAGGTTTTACAGTGCTGAGTTGTATATGTTTCAAAGGGCTAAATACACCCCCATTAATTTTAGTTGTATCTATATTGGTTGTAGCACATAGAGAGCATCTTGGATGCCTCTGGCAGTGGTTCTTTTTAATTTCAAGGAGGAAAACCTAACATCTGGAGTGTCAAACCCTCTTAAACTTCTATAAAGGGGTATCCAACTTGTGGCCCATGGGCTGCTCCCAGACTGTAGCTCTTAACATGTGGCTTATGATGGTGGGGAGGGGAACAGCTGAATACAAGGTAAAAGGGAGCAATGGCATAAGCAACAACAGATATAAGTATATCCAGAGTTCTGCTTCTGTTAAAGGCTGGTTGCCTAAGATTTTAATGTGTCTCTTTCTTGTATACACAAACATGCATATGTATATATAGATATATGAATAATATTTGACTTCAGACCTTGTTTTCTCCCTCCCTGTTTTCCTATTTTTTATTTCTCTTGTAGACATTCTTCAGGAGCACTCAGTGTTTAATATGGCTGTGATGTATTGAAGGGCTTTTCTGTGACAGTGACAACATCAGTCATTACATCTGTGAATACCAGCTCCAGAAGGTTACTTGGAAACAGCTCATTCAGATTTTCATTACGGCAAGAGAGCAATTTTTTTGAAGAGTCATATCGTTGCATGACAAATAAAATTCAGCATTGGTTACAATGTTCCTCTTGTTTTCCGTCCGTCTGTTCTGACTGAAAATGGGCTGAGGGGCTCCTGAGACAGTAGGCAATAGGATGGTTTGCATAGAAGGCGGCTCACCAAAATTGTCTCTTCTGCCCACTTTTCTAAAGCGTGTCTAGGCAGATGTATTTTATTTTATTTTATTTTCAATTAGCTGAAAAGGTAAGCAATTCAGTTTCACTCACCTGAACGCAATCTGCAGGATTGACAGCATACCTTTAATAGATTCCTCCAGTAGATAATTAGACCAGTGTAACGCAAGCAGTGCATGAATTAACATTTGCACTTGCATATGAATATTCAGCGTTGCAGTATTTTCAGTGGTGCCAATTGTTTTCAGTGATTAGCACTCCTGCTTATTACATGGTTGTAACATTGATTGGTACAAAATGGCACCAATTAAAGAATTCTAAAAGGTCTGGAGGGTCAGGGAGTAGCTATTCATTGTTGGTATTTATAGCTTTTCAGTAGACCAGGATCCAGATGCGAGGTTTCACTGTCTAATTGGAGAGATGAGGGGTTTTTTGGTGTTGAGAGAAATGACATTCTTGATTTTACTATAAAGAGGAATAGTGTTGCTGGATTTATTTGGACTGTAGTTACTTTCTACCCTCTCACATTTTGTATGCTGAGGTAAATAGAAGTATTGTATGTTCTAATTATTAATGATGATAATAATAATAAAAAAGGGAAATCATTAACCCATTCAAGCTTGACTACTGTAGTAATAAAAAAAATATACAATTAAATTTACACGGCATATTCCTGCATAAAATATTGATTTACAGCCTTATTTACCTTCCTCCAAGAATTTCATAACCATGAGACAATTAATAAACAACTTCATGGGAAAGATTAAAAAAAATAGAAACATGTTAGTATCTAGCCCAAGGCAAGCTTAATTCAGAATTGATGTTGGCTCTTTTACAAATTGACGTGAAAAAAACAAATCTTCATGATTGTAAGATGTAGTATATATTATTGTATTGTTTATATTATTCCTCTTGGCTGTAAGATTGGCATGTAGTCATCAATGTCTAGTTGGTAGGAGGCATCAAGTGGGTTTCCCAGGGGTCTGTCCTGGGTCTGGTATCGTTCAACCTCTCCATTAATGATTTGAACAATAGGATTGACCTCACACTTAGCAAATTTGCAGATGACACCAAGCTGGTTGGAGTTGCGATCATCCAGGTGCTAGGGGTAGGGTCCAGAATGACCTGAATAGACTGGAGAAATGGTCCACAATCCAGGGGATGAAATACAGCAAAGACAAGTGCAAAGTCCTGCACTTGGTATGAAATGATTCCATGCACAAATACAGGCTGGGGAATGAATGGCTAGGCTGTGGTACTGGAGGTTAAAGCACATCATAAGCTGAAAAAAACCCAACAGTGAGCTCTTGTTGCAAAAAAGCCAACAGTGTAGAGGGTTTTATTAACAGGGGTGTCACTTGTAAATGAAGGGAAGTGATTTTTCTGCTCTGTTCAGTACTGGTGTGGTCTGACTTGGAGTACTGTGTCTAGTTTTGGACCCCGCACTTCAAAAATGATGTGGGCAGTTTGGAAAGAGTCTAGTGCAGGGCAGCAAAAATGATTAGGGGTCTGGGAGACAAGATTTATGAGTTAAGGCTGAATGAGCTAGGGTTATTTAGTCTGGAGAAGAGAAAACAGAGGGGCGGTTTGATAGTGGTCTTCAAATACCTGAAGGATGATTATAAAGAGGATGGAGATGAGCTTTTTCTCTGTGGCTGTAGGAGTTTGGACTGAGGTTGAAGATGGGGAGGAGCGTTCTGACTATGGTCAAGTCGACCCGTTCCAATGGAGCAGTTGTGGAATCTCCATTTTTGGAAGTTTTCAAGAGCCCTTGGCTGGCATGGTTTTACTCAGGGATGCTCCTGCTTTGAACAGGAACCCTGTAAGGTGTCTTCCAGCCCTACTTGCCTATGATTTCCCATCCAGCCTGAAGCTTTAAAGGTAGTACAGTGCTGCTTTTCACTCCCATGGTCTGTATGGTGGGTGGCAGGGGCTGCCAACACTGTGCTCCAACTCCCTCTGCTTGTGGGATCTGAACCTGGAGCAGGGGAAGGGCTGGAATCTGGCGAACCATATGGCCAACCAAGTAGGAGAGGAAAGGTCCCAGCCAGCCTGTAGGTTTAAAAAGGAGTTCAGGCCCTACCGGGGCAGGCACTGCTGAAATATGACTCTCGAGGGTGTCTTTTGGTATTGCCCTTTGGTAGAGACAAAGGGAAAGGGTATGTTTTTGATTTTGTTTGTTACTTGTCTTGATTGAACGATGTGTTTTTCTTGTCGGGAAGGGGAAAACAAATGGGTTGCGGAGACAGAAATAGCACCCCCCCACTTCTGCCCCTTTTCTCACAAGCAGTTGGGCTTGACTTGGAAGGGACAGTAAGGCTAGGATGTGAGGCAGAGAAGTAGATAGAGTTGTTAGGGAATACGGGGGGGTAGGGGTGAGGGGGTTTGGGAGAATCATTTTTTTCATAGTTGGTAAGGTTGGAAGGGACCTGAGCAGATTCATAGCTTCATAGATGTTAGGGTCGGAAGGGACCTCAATAGATCATCGAGTCCGCCCCCCTGCCTAGGCAGAAAAGAGTGCTGGGTTTAGATAACCCCAACTAGATGCCTATCCAACCTCCTCTTGAAGACCCCCAGGGTAGGGGAGAGCACCACTTCCCTTGGGAGCCCGTTCCAGACCTTGGCCACTCTAACTGTGGAGAAGTTCTTCCTAATGTCCAGTCGAAATCTGCTCTCTGCTAGCTTATGGCCATTATTTCTTGTAACCCCCAGGGGTGCCTTGGTGAGTAAAGCCTCACCAATTCTGTGCCCCTGTGATGAACTTATAGGCAGCCACAAGGTCATCTCTCAACCTTCTCTTGCGGAGGCTGAAGAGGTCCAGGTGCCCTAGTCTCTCCTCATAGGGCTTGGCCTGCAAGCCCTTAACCATACGTGTGGCCCTTCTCTGGTCCCTCTCTAGGTTATCCACATCCCTCTTGAAGTGCGGCACCCAAAATTTCACGCAGTACTCCAACTGCGGTCTGACCAGCACCCGATAGAGGGGAATTATCACCTCCTTGGTTCTGTTTATCATGTATCAGCAGATGCATGACAAAGTGCCATTAGCTTTTCTGATGGCTTCGTCACACTGCCGACTCATGTTCATCTTGGAGTCCACTAGGACTCCAAGATCCCTTTCCGCTTCTGTGCCTCCAAGCAGGTCATTTCCTAGGCAGTAGGTATGCTGGACATTTTTCCTCCCTCGGTGCAGCACTTTGCATTTCTCCTTGTTGAACTGCATTCTGTTGTTTTCTGCCCACTTGTCCAACCTGTCCAGGTCTGCTTGTAGTTGTTTCCTGCCCTCCGGCGTGTCCACATCTCCCCACAGTTTTGTGTCATCCACAAACTTGGACAGAGTACACTTCACTCCCTCGTCCAAGTCGCCGATGAAGACATTGAAGAGTATCGTTCCAAGGACCGAGCCCTGCGGGCCCACTGCCCACACCCTTCCAGGTCGATACTGACCCATCCACTATGACTGTCTGGGTACGACCCTCTAGCCAATTTGCCACCCACCGGACTGTGTAGTCATCCAAGTGACAGCTTCTTAACTTGTTCACCAGTATGGGGTGGGATACCGTATCGAAGGCCTTCCTGAAGGCTAAAGTCTAAAGATCATCAAGTCCGACCCCGTGCCATGGCAGGAAAGAGTACTGGGGTCAAATGACCATGGCAAGGTGTTCATCCAGCCTCATTTTAAAGCCCTCCAGGGTAGGAGCCAGCACCACTTCTCTTGGAAGTTGGTTCCAGATCCTAGCTGCCCTGACAGTGAAGTAGTGCCTTCTGATGACTAGTGTGAATCTACCCTCTGCCAGCTTGTGACCATTATTTCTAGTCACTCCTGGTAGTGGTCGGAGGAACAGGGACTCCCCCAGTGGCTGCTGGTCCCCCCCGACTAGTTTGTAAACGGCCACTAGATCCCCCCTCAGCCTTCTCTTGTGGAAGCTGAACAGGTTCAGGTCTCATAGCCTCTCCTCGTAGGGCCTGCCCTGCTGCCCCCTGATCATGTGGGTGGCCCTCCTTTGGACCCTCTCCATATTGGCCACATCCGTTCTGAAGTGTGGTGCCCAGAACTGGACGCAGTACTCCAACCAGTGTCGCCTGACCAGTGTCGCATAGAGGGGGAAGATCACCTCCTTGGTCCTGCTTGAGATGCATTTGTGGATGCATGACAAGGTATGGTTGGCCTTCCTGACCGCGTCCCCACACTGTCGGCCCATGTTCATTTGGCATCAATAATGACTCCAAGATCCATTTCTGCCTCTGTGCTGACGAGAGGGGAGTTCCCCAGCCTGTAGGTATGCTGCTGGTTCTTCCTCCCCAGGTGCAGTACCTTGCACTTGTCAGTGTTGAAACCCATCCTGTTCTCATTCGCCCACCCCTGTAACCTGTCTAGGTCCGATTGCAGCCTATTCCTCCCTTCTAGCATGCCCACTTCACCCCACATCTTAGTGTCATATGCGAATTTGAGCAGGGTGCTTTTTACCCCCTTGTCCAAGTCGCTGATGAAGATGTTGAACAGTGCAGGCCCAAGGACTGAGCCCTGGGGGACACCACTGCCCACATCCCTCCAGGTTGAATAAGACCCGTCCACCACCACTCTCTGGGTGCAGCCCTCCAGCCAATTAGTGACCCATCTAACTGTGTAGGTATCAACGCCACAGTCCCCTAGTTTTTTAATGAGGATGGGGTGAGCGACAGTGTCAAAGGCCTTCCTAAAGTCCAGAAAGACTATGTCCACCGCAACACCTGCGTCCATGTATTTTGTGACCTGGTCGTAGAAGGCCACCAGGTTGGTTTGACAGGACCTGCCTCTAATGAACCCGTGTTGGCTGCCCCTAAGCATAACCTCCCCTGCTGGCCCTTGCGTACATGTGCACAAGATAATTCTCTCAAAAAGCTTATCCAGGACGAGGTAAGACTAACAGGTCTATAGTTTTCTGGGTCCTCCTTCCTCCCTTTTTTGAAAATGGGAACCACATTGGCCCTTTTCCAGTCCTCTGGCACCTCGCCGGAGCACCATGAGTGCTCATAAAGCCGTGTCAGGGTCCCGCAATGACCTCTGCTAATTCTCTCAGCACTCTGGGGTAGAGATTGTCAGGACCTGTTGATTTAAATATGTCCAGTCCCTCCAGAAGTTCCCTGATTAGGTCCTCTCTGACCCTAGGCCTGGGTGCACCTCCCCCGGGGCCTGAGGGGGTTCTATTGAATGTGGATTGAAAACTGAGGTTGGAAGATGGAGGATTTGTTCAGATGCAGGACAGCAGGAGTGGGTGGGGTACTTTGCTGGACCAAACCCTCTCTAGGACCAGTTCTTAATATTTTGAAGATGGTTTTTAAAAATTTCTTTCAATAAAAGACCTCATGAAATTTGAGGGTTTTTTTGATCTTGCAGTCTGTGCCAACTGGACAGGAACTACTTTTGGGTAGCATTCATAGGCTTGGTGTGAAGGAGGGATAGATGTAACCTTTGAGTCGATATGCTAGGGTTCTGGAGAGGGCATTCGTGGCAGAGAAAAGCATGTGGAGCTCCTAATTTCAGTGGGATGCAGTCCACAGTTGCAGAGTTCAGACCTT